CTGGCCCGGCCACAACGGTCAAAATTTAATCGTTGTGGCCATTAATGGTCACAAAAGTGATCGTTAATGCCGGGCCGGGCCGGGCATTTGCCTTCAACGATCACATTATGTGATCGTTGCATCCGGGCCGGGCACCGCCCCGGCCCGGAAACTTAGACCGACCGTTTTACGTTCATGCCGAGCAGGGCGTCAACGAGGCGGCCCGTACCCGAGCCCAGAACCCTATCTGGCCCGGGTTTCCGGGCAAAACCCGAGCCCGGGTCGGGCACCGGGCCAGCAGGCCAAATGGACAGCCCTAGTTGCAAGGTTAAAATAGAGCCCGGGTCGGGCACCGGGCCAGCAGGCCAAATGGACAGCCCTAGTTGCAAGGTTAAAATAAGCATAAATGTTGATTTTCACCTCGTAACCTTCATATATCTGTTTTCACATGTACTATATTATCTCAAATAAACATTAGTAACAAATAAGAGTTTGTTATTAACATCCTAACAGTAGTAACATATTTTTTGTAAGTTTAAGTCATGATATCCATCATATGTATATACACACACACACTTCTTTGATAAGATGATTGCTCTATAAGTGCAAAGAACAAACCAATTATGATAAGCACTTTCATAACAACTGTCTATTTTATTATAAATGATTTTGATATGTATTAAACAAAAATGGAATTGGGTATAATTTACATGGATGTAAGGAAGTTATTTTTAATATTTCTTAATATAATACAGTTATAATTTGAAAGAGATATTTTTATTAATAGGAAAAACGTTCAAATTGGAAATATTTGATGTTTATCAATTAAGGTTTTGGTTAATCATCTTGCAAGCCTATATAAATTGAGTATTTCTTATTTACTAATACCTTTAAATTTAACAGAAAATATGAAAAACGCAACTGCATACCCTCTGTGTTTTTTTATGTGAAATGTTTGATATATTAGGTAAATTGACAAACCGTCAGAATTGAAGAACAGATTGTAAACGGATTAGCTTTTGGGGTACACAGCTAAGAAACCGTAGAACTATATTTGGATTAATAGTTTAAAAAGCCTTAGAATTATTTTTGTAAAATAAAATCTATTAAATTAGATCTTCAATCTATTAAATTATTTTTTCTATATTATTCTTTGCCAAAAATAACTCCCACAACCTTTCTTTCTTTGTTTGTTTCTCCTAATTAAAAATATATATATATATATATTGACGATGGAAAACTGCATATACTCAAGAACCCTATCAGAGATGGAAAACAGTGAGAGCGTCAATCAATCTCAAGAAGGAGGTGGCCCCAGCAAGAAACGGAGAATCACACGAAAGAACAAGAATAGTATGCAGGTAATTATCTTTTCTCATGTGAGAAGTTGATTATGATATTTATTGTATAAAATTAAAATATTTGTGTGAGCAGATTGAAACAAAAGCTGAAGCTTGTTGCTCATGGTTTCTACTGCCACTTGACATCATGGTTGATATACTATCAAGACTACCTACCAAATCTATTGCAAAACTCCGATGTGTTTGCAAGCATTGGCTTTCCTTAACTCAAGACCTTAGTTTGTTGAAATCACTGCACCAGAGATCTTCAAGCTACATGATTATATTTAAACATGTTTTTAATGAAGAAATAAGGCTGAAGCTGTATGATTCTAGTATCAGAGACGGAGAAAAGGATACGAAGATTTCCTTCAGTCCTAAGCTCTGGAGAAGGTATTATAAGCTATCAAATTTTGTTGATGGTTTGACTTGTGCTTATTCCTGGTATACCAAATCTGATATGTACTTATTAAATCCTATGACTCGGGAACTTCGGAGAATTCGCAAGAACTATGGACGTCAAAAAGGCTTTGAAAGCGAACATGAGCGTGTTGGTCTAGGAATAGACATGAGTACGGGGAAATACAAGATAGTTAGATTATTTTCTCATTCGAAAAGTCGATTTCATTGTGAGATCTTTACAGTGGGCACTGCACAATGGAGATGCCTCGGTGAAACTCCTTTCGGAATTTGTTACGATCATAATCCAATTCTACTCCATGGAGCGCTACACTGGATTGGAAGTGATCATCAACAAAAATTAGGTGTTTTCCGATTCAATCTCAAAGACGAAAAGTTTGGATCAATCATACCTATCCTCCATCCTCCATCCTCTCATATACGCCGTCTGAAGGAGTCTAGTGGGAGTCTTTGCATTGAATTCAGTAACACAGTGGAAAAATGCTTTGAGATATGGGTCATGAAAGATTATTTGAGTAACACATGGGTCAAAGAGTATAAAGTCGATACCAGCGACTCCACAGGTTTACACATTACAGAAAGTATAGATAGCAAATTTATCTTGGAGTCCTGTGAAGAGGAAAAAGAATATGTTAATTCAAAGTATCGTTTTAATAAAGCCTTTAACCTATTGAAAATAGGAAGAGAGTTGGGTAGAGATTTTGCTGTTCATAAAGGAAGCCTTATTTCCCCGAAGAAGCTGTTGAAGCTATCTCAAAAGACGTATGAAGAAGCGTGAAAGTGAGTAATATGCATCTCGAGGATTTTATCTATTATAGTACAGATATATATAATACAAAGGAAGAATGAACACTGTTTATTTATTATTAATTGTTGGCACAGGTACGAAAGAATTTTACAAGATTGCATGTATTGGTTTACATTATACTTCCAGTACTTATATTTATAGAATTTGCTACTTCATGAACTTCATATGTATTGGAATAACTTATCTATTTTGATGGAACCACTCATTTTTAAGACCTTGACATTCATCAGTATTATGTAAAATTAGAATTTTGCAGACTATGTGCAGAGATCGTCGTGAATTCATTGACTTGAGGAATAGTTTTTTTTTAGTGGTTTTATAAATAAGTCATGATATCTACCATATAGGTTTCTTCGATAATGATGATTGCTCCTGGGTTTAAACATGCACCTGGTAGACGTTTACATTTTGGGAAAATTTGCAAAATAGACCGTTTTTATAAAGTAATTAGCGAAATAGACCGTTTTTAAAAGTAATTAGCAAAATAGACCGTTTTTTGGCAAAAGAGGTCGATTTTGAAAAAAGGTTCAGAAAACATATGGAACTACTAGTCCCGTATGTTTAATCTCACTCAGAAAATATAAGGGACTACTAGTCCCGTATATTTTCTGTTTGTTAACAAAGCATACGGGACTAGTAGTCCCGTATGTTTTCTGAACCCTTTTTCAAAATCGACCTCTTTTGCCAAAAAACAGTCTATTTTGCTAATTACTTTAAAAACGGTCTATTTTGCAAATTTTCCCTTACATTTTTTTTTGTGCTTTTACATGGAAAGCACGTTAACTTTTACTCAAATTGATACTTATCACATTTACTCTTCTTGTATTTAGACAGAAACTATCTAAACTTTGTTTACATATTTGCAATATCATACATTCTAACCAATTCTGCTAATAACTTAGTAGAATTTCACAAATATCATCAGCTCTTTTCTCCTCTTTCGCACCCAATCATCCCCGCCACACCCCCCCCCCACCCCAAATAAACCAACCTCACATCCTACATCTTCTTCCTTCTTCCTTCTTCCTTCAACTCTCCCCCTCAAACATCACCCTAGTCAACTCAAGGCAATTGAAGGGAAAGTTTCTTTGGGACTAGTCATCAAGTTCAAGGATAGAGAGGAGGTGATAATAGGGAGAGGAGGGAGAGGGAAGGAGAGAAAGGACATCGAGAGAAGAAAAGATGGTTGATGGTAAAATAGGAACCGTGACTTTGTTTAACAAATGATTTAAAAAAGTGTGACATTGCAAATGTGTAAGCAAGTTTAGATGGTTTCTGTAAAAAAGAAAAAAGAAAAGAAGAAGAAGATGATGAGTATCAATCAATTTAAGTAAAACTTTAAGTGGTTTTCATGTTAAAATCCTTTTTGGATATAAATGCTATATTATAAAGAATCCAACTTAAAATATTTATCCTCTAGTGGATGATTGTGATTTATTTATTTCTTTCAAGAGAAAGGATAGCCGTCACATAGACCCCTCAGTTACTAGGGAATATGATAAATTGTATTTAGAATATATCATAATCATCCAAATACAATGTTAAATCTGGAAGCAATGTCTTATCAGAAAGAAATAATATGATTTTATTTTCTTTCATGATATACTAGTCTTTAGACTCGTGCAAAGGATGGCTTTAAATAAAAATATTGATTATCTGTTTTTAAATTAAATTTATGAGCATGTATATGAACAGGTTACTAATCCATGGTAAGCAAATACCATCCAGAAACGGAAACAAATCATTTCATTAGGATAAAAAGTGGTTATATACAAATAGCTAACAATAATCCCTAAAATGAAACCAAAAAGCGGGATCAATTATAGAGTTACAAAGGTTGAATCTATAAAGTTGAATGCCCTATAAATATTCATACAAAAGAAGAATAACACAAAAAATAATTCATTTAATCTCTTTAGCATCTCACAAATACAAGTGTGATGGTATATCTTTGGGCAGAGAAGGAAGCTGATGCATAGATAAGTTGATGACAATGTACGAGCTAAAAATTTGATATGATCACGAAGAGATTCCAGTTATATATACACATATATACATATATATTAAATCATGAAGAAAACTATCTTTGATAAAAAATAACTTCTCTGTTATAGTTAATCAACAAAATTTTTGACTTTTCTATGTATCAACCTAAACAAAACCTTTGATGGGAAAAAATAATATAAAAGATATTAAAAGGCACAAAATAACATATTTCATCTGTTAAAACTTTTCATTAAGGTGTTGATATTCAGTAGATAATCTGTGTTGTTTTCCTAAAATTTCTATCATGCACATGAAGAATGATGAGTAATTTCCATAGTAGAAAATAATTTTTTTAATTCCACCGCATAAAAAATCTCATGGAGGAAAAAGAAATGGAAATAATTAATATTCTGTTAAAATTTAAGAAAATATATTTTACACCCAACCAGATCAATCAAGAGCAGATCTCTCCGCCTCTCTCTCTCTCTCTCTCTCTCTCTCTCTCTCTCTCTCTCTCTCCTTTTGTTAAACTAGGTGAGATACACGTGCATTGCATGTTATTAAATATCATGATTGTTTGGTTTATTCTTTTAATATAACTTGGTCATGTAATTGTTTCTTTTAGATCTCTACACCATGATGTAATATTATTTGTGAACTTTCTTAATATTTATATTTATGTACCTTCAACTTTAATTTTATGCGGTTGTGACCGTTAGCACTATAAGCAACAAATCATTCGAAAAGATTTGTCATTCATATAGCAACCAGTTTCCTCAATGCCTCATATTTAATAATAATGATCATACAATTCTTATGAAGTAAAAGCGAAGGAAAAATATCTTCTATATTAATCCCTAATGAATATAGAATAAGAAAACTTATCAGCATTTAAGTAAAATCTTTCAATAAGTTTATGAAGATAACAACATTCAACTATTAAGTTGCTCAATACTTATTATTTCAAAATTAATTCATCAAATCATTGAAAATAGCTATTATATTCCCAAAATTTAAGTTTTTTTAAATATTAGCTCCTCCAATCAAGAGTAAAATAAAGCGATTAGAGGGAAATTATCCTCTCATATTGCTATTATACCACATTACCATTGATGAATTTGAAAGACTAATTTTAAAATAAATTAAAAATTGAGTTACCTAATAATAATTTAAATGCTTTGACAGATTTGAAAGACTAATTTTAAAATAAATTAAAAATTGAGTTACCTAATAATAATTTAAATGCTTTGACAGACTTTTTTCAAAATATGAAAGATTTAAAGGACTAATACAGAAAACATTTTGATAAATCAATTATTGTTAATAAATAAATTAATTTCATAATTTGGTATCAACCAATTGGTTAATATTTACACATGTAATGCATGTTATGTTTACAATGCTATTGTTCTGTAAGATTCTTTCTACTCTTTACTTGTCAATCACTTTTTATTAGATCAATTCTTTATTATTTAGTTTTAAATGAAGAGAGTTTTAATTTAGAAGTTTAATTTTGACTTAATAATTTTAGTTGATAACCAATTATAATTAGAATAAGAATATTAATATTGAATAGGATTAGGGGTAAAACTGAACAAGAAGTATTGTTCTAGAACTCCCACTTTTAAAAGGAGTATGATATCTCCAATTTCTTCGCCTAAAAGCTTCAGGGAGGAAATTATGGGGAAATATGATTTTATGCTAAAGTTGTCAAATATATCTTTCCAATGAGATTTGTAATACAAGTGTAATCCCTAAAAGGGTATAAAATAGCAAAAGAGATAGAATATTTGTAAAACCCCAAAAAATTTGAAAATATTATTATAAATAATAATAAATGAGTCTTATTATGATTGGTGATAATTTTGGGATGAATGAATCAGTTTGGAATCGATTTGAGATCGATTCGCAGTTTTAGGAGGACTGATCATAAGGACTGTTGATTTTTGTCCATCTTAAGGTCAATCGACTGATCAAAATAACCAGTTGTCCAGTTGTTCGATTGATCTTAGGGGCAGTCAATTGATCAGAATGACCAGTCGACCGATTGGTCATCAGGAGCTAGAGTTCGCATCTCTCACGTTGCAGCAGCCATCCCCCTGAAAACCCTAATTTCTCAGTTTCATGATTTTGGAGGAATCTTGTGAAGCAAAGTTCAAGAGGAGGGCGAGATCTACAACTTTTGTGAATGAGGATCGAGTTCCTCTCGTATTTGAGAGATCAAAATCACATCTAGAAGATAAGTTCATCTCTTCCCAAACCCATCCCCTTAGATTTTCAATTTTTGATGAATTAAACCTTAATTTTATGAATAGAACTTTAGATCCAAGCACTAAGTAAAGAAAAGACAGGATCTTGATGCTTAGAATCTCTATTTTCTTTTGCTAATTGACGAATTAATTAGGATTAGAACCCTAATTAATTAAATTAAACCTAATTAGTGATGTTTAGGGAAATTTGATCCTAAATCCATGTTTTTATTGATGAATACTTGTTTGGCCGAGTTCCCACTTAAGCAAATGAAAGATTTTGAATCATGATCCACACCCCATGTTATTAATTCACGAGTCTTTTTAAGAAAATTACTTAACCCTAGAAAACTGACAGTTTTTGTTTTAGTGTTCAGATCGGTCAACTGACCACATTGAACAGTCGACTGATCGGTTTTTAGAACCCTATATTTTCTCTCTGGTCGGTCAACCGATAGGGTATCAGTCGACCGATCGAGACCCTATTGATTTTGTATGGTTGCTCTCTAGTCGGTCAACCGACAGATCATCAGTCGACTGATCGAGACTAGTTAATTGTGCACATTGTGCACGTTCGCCGCTCGATTGATTGATGGGATATCAATTGACTGATCGATTGTTAATTGACTGGTCCCCAAGGGCAGTTGACTGATCTGATGCTATTTTTATGGGTTTGATTTTCAATGCACGTTTGGTCGCAAATTCGAAGAACGGGCCACACGTTGATACACGTGTGTGACCATGGGAGTACATGTATTATGATTGAGCACGCACGGGCCTTTGGGAGTGCGTAGACTAATGTATTGTGTTTGTCACAATAGGGAGTGATAATTATTTTGAATTATAAAGATTCTAGATGCTAGAGTGCGTTAGTCCATGCACTGCATGAGATCGCTGATGACTACACTCCGA